GCCCAGCACGCGCAGCGCGCACAGCACACGGGGCGGCAGCTGCCCCGCCGGGCTGACCTGAGCGACAATGACGTCCAGTCGCTGCTTGCCCGCCTTGATGTCTGAGTCCCTGGGGCGCGCAGCATGAGGGAAAGCGCCTCAGAGAGGATCCCTCTCCTCAACGCTGCACGCCCAGCACACCCGCAACAGCTTCGCAGCCGTCCCCGCCTGCCAGGGGTTTCGGGCGGTGCGCCAATGCTTGGCGACACCACCTCCTGCCGTGCCTCCTGCGTCCCTTTGGCTGCAGGCACAGCCACACACGACAGGGGCCCCCTTTTTTGCCTTTGACACCTGCGCAGCGCCAGCACGACACAGTTCTTGTCCTTGGGCTCCTTCGGCACCTGCTCCAAGATCTGTGCGCGACGGCCCGACAGTTCGGCGGCTGCGGTCAACCGTCCGCTTTGACTGCGCGCCGCATGCTGCAGCTCCCTCAAACAAGGTTCTCAGTCGTCCGTGACTATGGCCCGTGGGGAACTTTTTTATGGTGATCTGCACCCCTGCCCTGTCCCGCTGCTGCGCCCCTCTTTCATACGGGCTGTCGTCTATAGACGCGGTATCGGGACCCACCGCGACGTGCTGTATGGCCGAGTAGGGCACCGCCACCACGCGCTGGCTGTTGCGGAGCAGCAGGTGGTCGCTGCCAAAGGCGATGTCGTGCTTGCCCCTGCGGCGCAGCGCCGCGACAGACAGCGGCCGGTCGGTGCAAAGCAGGCGCCAGCCGGCCGGCGGCGCGTGTGCTGGCTGCGGCCCGCTGCACAGTTCAGCCAGCACAAACCAGCAATTCGGGGGCCCTCTACTCGCCACGCGACTGCCTCTCCTCATGCATTTGAGAGAGTTGCAGCGTTGCCAATGAGTTTTCAAGGACACCCAGCCGACACAGCGACGCAACGATGCAGCCGTGCTGACCGCCCCGGAGAGACCACTGCACCACAGAGCCCCGCGCCGGTCCCACCATGGACTGGTCATTGCAACGCCTTGCAGGACCGCCACTGCTGCCGCAAACGCGTCCGCGCCAGGCGCGGCGGG